AGCATAGTGAATAGAGGTGCTAAACTTCTCCTCAGTCTTCTTGTTCACATCAACATGTTCACTGGACTTCAAACTATAGGTCTTCACACCCTCTTTTAATCTATGCAAGGAATCAATACTAGAATAGCCAAGTCCCAAATACCACAGTCTAGTCAAATCAATAAAAGTCGACAGTTCTCCACCTGCCACTATACCTTCAGTTAAGTAATACAGGTTATTCCTCCTGACGCCCTTCATCACAATCCGAGAGTCTTCCATAATCTTGAGAACCATGTCCTCAATTCGAACATTCAGACCCTCTCCAACCAAAGCTCCAATCGAGATCAAGTTCTTTCTCAAAGAAGGAACATATCTCACATCATTTAACTCCCTAACAGTCCCGTCAAACATCTTGATGCGAATTCTTCCTATCCCAATGATCTGGCATGCACAGTTATCAGCCATGTACACCACACCACTATCCAGCTTCTCATAACTGGAGAACCATTCCCTTCTAGGGCACACATGATAGGTCGCACCACTATCCAACATCTATTCAGATTCCTCCGAATAGCAATCTGTAGGACTGATAGAAAGCGAATAAATAGAAGAGTCAGAAATATTACCATCCGATATAACGATGTTTGCTTCTGATGATGGTTGCTTCCCTTTTCCCTTCTGCTTATTCTTCATCCATTCGTCACGCTTTGGGTAGTCTTTCTTCTAATGACCAGCCTTCTTGCACCAAATACACTGATCTTTTCTAATTGTAGGATGTCCTACTTTAGACTGTGACTTCCAATTCTTCCGGTTTGGACCCTTTCCTCTTGCGGCCAACGCTTCTGCTACCGGCTCAACTGAAGCCTCCTTATCCTTCTTTCAAAGCTGATAATTCACAAGTGCAACAGTCACCTCACTATACGATAGAGATTCCTTCCCATTAATCAGAGTAAGAACGAAGGTCTCATATTCCTCATCGGGTAAGGAACTCAACAATAGCAACGCCTTGTCCTCATCTTTAATTATGACTTCCACATTCACCAAATCCGTAAGAAGCTTTGTGTAGGTGTTCATGTGATCACTAAATGAGGTTCCCTTCTTCAACTAGAAATGATAAAGTCTCATCTTCAAATGTAAGCGGTTCTCAACACTCTTTGTCAGATACTTGCTTTCGAGAATCTCCCAAATCTTCTTCGCAGAAGTCTCATTCATCATATCATATTTTAGATCTTGAGTCAAACAAGACCTAATCTTCGCAGAAGTCTCATTCATCATATCATATTTTAGATCTTGAGTCAAACAAGACCTAATCACACCACACACCATTCGATTCATCTTCTTCCAAACATTCTCTTCAATATCATCTAGCTTGCTATTTAACTCCAAGGTATCATCTAAATTATGCGCGTTCAGCGCATCCAAAACCTTGCATCTCCATAATCCAAAGTTGTTTGTGCCATTAAACTTCTTCACATCTATCTTCATAGAATAGATATTCAAACTCTGAATGGTTTTCACGCCAGAAGCACTACTCTCGACACCCGAAGCACCTTCTTTCCCCGACATCTTTCTCAACCCACCAACGAATGAAAAATAGATCCAAAACTGAAAAGATAGAGTTTTTACCAAAAGATCACATCTTTAACTCCAATTGAAACCCTAGACAAGCTTCCAAATCAATCTACTCCTCCAAATAGTCCAAGCGTAGCCCGAGCTCTGATACCACTTGTTGTGAACAGTGAAAATTTCGGCAGAGTTTCTGGTGCACAATAAGAGAAAGATCGTAATAAGAATTCTCGTCTCACAAAGAAAACAAGAATCTGAAGCGAATATCTCAACAAAGTGAGATATCGGCTCTTCCTCTTATCAGTTCTAGGACTGACTTGTCGAGGGATCCTAATAAAATATTACAATAGCCACAAACACAAAACAAACGATTTTACGTGGTTTGGTAAATTGCTTACGTCCACGGGGCAAGAGGGGGGAGATCTACTATTAGAGAGGAGAGAATACAACTAGGGTTTACAATCACTCAACCCAAACCCTCACACAATCTCTCAAACCTCTCATAATTTCTCTCTCAAAATCAGCACAAGAGAGACTGCACAGAACTCTCTCAAAAGCCGCCTCTTTTCTTCACCAAGCACAGTCGAAACTTGCTCTCTGCCTTTTTCCACTGCAGCCAAAAATTAACTTTGCCAGCGCCATTCCTTTGCACGCAAACCAAGAAAAAACCTAGCAAAGCTATATATACCCGTAACAATTGAGTGGGCTTGAAAATGCGTTTGTAAACACGTGAGGTGATGAAAACGTGGCCCCCACAAGCATCCTTTTCACGCGGCTTTGGATGTGATCTTCACGCAGTTTCTCCAAGCTTGTGGCCCCCACTTCGTTCAATCACACCTATCTCTTTACGTGAATTACTTCTTCACGTGAATCCTATCACGCGTGAGTTGCCGCTCTCGTGACCCTTCTGGTCACGTGGCCCCACAAGCTGCTGCTATCCAACAAATCATTGCTTCCTATTCTGAGTCTTAATAGGACATGAAAACCAGTCTGTATCCTTGTTTGAATACAAAAGAAAACATGTACGCATGTTCCGTGCCCGACTTCTGAATAAGAATAGAAATCCCTATAGAATAGGGATCCTATTTTTATAGGATCTGTATTGTCACATATATAGCAATCCTATTCCGTTTCAAACTCTACGGATTGAAAACTGTGAGCCACGAAATCCCACATGTTCTTGAGTGATACAACTGCTTGAACCATTCAAAGGAATGTTAGGCATAACCAATTATGCTCTCATTCGTGTGGACTAATTCTCGAGAAACACAAGCACAGTAGTCTGCAAGCAAATTTTCTTTTCTTTAGCTTTATTAAATGTGGTCAGTGGATCACTGATTCAACTAAAGAAGAACAAGTGAAGGGTTTTAAAGGATATCCCCTCTGCCATTTTGCCCATATGTAACAATTTTAAACTAATCGAATTGTTCACTAAGAAATTGTTCTCAAATGCCTTCGGATATATAGAAATTAGACTACGTACATTCAAATTTGCCAAATATTTATAGGAAAATTCTCGTGACTAAAAGGGAATATGTAGAAAGAAAACCATACATATAACATGTCAACGAGTGAATCTTTTGCTACAAGACTAAGCTAGTCATATGCTGCTTCAAGAATAAAGTAGGAATGATCCATATAGGGGAGGCCAGTTTAAGTTCTCTCCTTATTCATATTGAACACTCCCATTTCATCTGGCAATTTTGTTGCACAAACAGAAAAGGAGGTATTCATGCCAACAAAAAAGGACATTGCCCTTGAGATCATTCTCGAGGATGAATTTAAGCTTATCTAGAATGTGCAGGGACTCCACCAACAGTTTGTGCATACCGCAAAATTATTGTATTTTAGAGTGGATTTGGGGCCAGATGAAAGGTGATGGTTGTTCCATGCGTGGTGTACCCCGCTTACATCCACACCATACAGTTGCCCTTTGTAGTGCATGAATATGATATCCGCGGTATCGACATGCTCGTAGCAGCAGCCTAAAAGGGTTGTGGAGAAGAATAACTGTGAAGTGACCGCTACCATCGGTAAAAGGAGGCAAGGACAGAATTTCCTTGTAATGAAAATAGTGATGATCAGTCTCTACTTATTCGCAGACATAGGGTAGAGTGGTGATAGAGGGGAGTCCGACATATCATAGACAGTTATTCTTCCTTTGATTAGTCTTCGAGGACTTGATAATTATACGAACAGTGTGCAGGATTAAAGCACTTGCACGCTTTGAAACTATAATTTTAGAAACTTTTTTTGGGATTGAGGATGAACAATTTGATGTTATGCTGATATGAAACTTATTCGTGTTTGTTACTGTGTTTAGCTTCAAAATATGTTGGTATTGATGAAATTCAAGTTCTCATGTATGTGAAAATGGTTTTCTTTTTTCGTTGGTTTGCTTTTGTGTTCTAGGAAACAAGACTTGCTATTTGGTGTTCTGGTTAGAATTAATCTTTTTAGTTATTAGTTTTATTTGAAAAGGGTTCCTATGCGAAGAGCACTTGCTGGGGTTTTATGTATTTTTTTTGTAGTTGTTGCCACTCGATAATATGTGGAAAGGGTTTTATGTTATTGGTTAGGATAATGAGATTGAGACAATACCTTTTGGTGTTATTAATTTTTTAGGACACTAGTGAGATAGTTATCCCACATGGGATGAAATTGTCTCACTCATATAGAAAAAATTTACTCTCAAGCCAAGATTTATTTACCCAAATTCAAGTTTGTCTCCCACGATGGTTATGCAAATGAAAAGCCCAGCTTGAAAGTGTAGTAGACAATCAGGTCATTTGGACTGCAAGACGTACTAGAGCATTTACACTGGTGCATCAACATCAACATCAACTATAGAGATGTAATTGAAATTGTGTTTTTTTAAATAATAATTAGCATTGTGCTTGTTTTACACATATAAGCTGCCCTTACAACTTTTAGGCTCTAGCCATAATATTACTCAATGCATTAATCAAGCATTATTGTTTAAACTGCTATATGCTGGCTTTAGTTTTAGACAAGCAATTACATCAAGATGGTTCAAAAGCTTTCAAACACACTGTTCAACTTAAAGATATGAATGACAACCGATGATCCAAGTTATTAAAATACAAGTTAAAATGGGCTACTAATTAGTATTATGCCATAAACAAGGTGTTTCTTTGAGGGAGGGTTGAGATTCAAGAAGAAATAGATCTGACATCACATGCTTGGCTTTAATAAAAAGAAATGGATGCTTGGCTTTAATAAAAAGAAATGGATCTGGCATCCCATCCTTGGAAGAAAAAGAAAGATGCTTGGTCTTAATAAAAAAAAGTTGATGCTTGGCTTTAATAAAAGAACCGAGTGCTTGGCTTTAACCCTTAATCTTGTGTTATTCGTTATGCCTTTCTATTTATTGCATTGCTCAACAAGTCGATAATCACCATCTCAATAACACATGCAAAATTTCCCAACTTACATCTACTATTAACAAAAAAGAAAAAAGAGGGAAAAAAAATCAAATATGGTGGTAGTTGGAGATGTAATTGCAAGCAAAATCATTGAGAAGCTAGTGGAGGTTGGATTTGACTATGCAGCAGACCAATGTTTTGCTCGGCGAAGACGAATGAACGATGAGCTTCAAAGGCTCAATGATGCTCTTCCTCGTATCCAAGCTATTGTAAATGCAGCGGAGAGTGGGCAACAAGAAATAACTGGAGACCTCAACAAATGGCTATGGCAACTCAAAGATGCTGTCTACATGGCTAGTGACATACTCGATGATCTTGATTATATTGAGATACAGAAACGAGTGGAGATGAATGCTGCAGGAAGAAGACCTCATGGCAGTAAGGTGAGTGGTTTTATTTCTGATTCTAAACGAAAAGTTTCCAAGTTTAGTAAAAGAACCTTTAAATCTGATCCCACCCTCGAGAAGCTAAGGGGGGTTGTCAAGAGGCTAAGTGAAGTGGCGGTAGGCGTTACAGATTTTCTCAGTTTAGTAAAAGAGCTTAACGAACTTCAACAACAACGTCATCATCATCATCATCAAACTTTTATCACTAATTCTAATCGTGAAACTGGACCTATTTTAAGGGAGAGAAATGTGTTGGGAAGGGATGAGGAGAAGAAGAAAGTGTTACACTGGTTAATGAGGATGCCCATTGCTAATGAGGATCATGTGGGCATCTCTCTTTTCTCCATTGTAGGCCTCGGAGGAGTTGGAAAGACAACCCTTGCACAACTCGTCTATAGGGATGATACCTTACAGAATTCCTTTAGCATCAAAATTTGGGTGTGTGTCTCCACTCGCTTTGATGTTAAAAAGATTATTGGAGACATCCTAGAATATGCTACAAAAAAGAGACCTGACGTTGCAGGACTTGGCCCACTAGAGGAAGCTCTTAAGGCATTGGTATCATCTGAGAAATTTCTCCTCATATTGGATGACGTTTGGAATGATTACGATCTCTCTAGTTGGGAGACGTTGTTTGCTCCGTTGAGGAGTGGCCTTAAAGGAAGTAAAATTATTTTAACTACCAGATCGGAGAAGGTTGCCGAAATGGCTACACTAGCTTTAGGAGGGATGGAAAATGAGTTAATGAAATTAAATCCCTTGGATGGTAATGTCTTCTTATCACTTTTCAACATATACGCATTTGCTGGAATAAATCCCCATAATTATGGAAAGCTGCAATCACTTGGCGAGCAAATAGCTAGAAGGCTTGGAGGCTTGCCGCTAGCTGCCAAGATGATTGGAGCATTATTGCGTTCTAATTTGGATGACAGTCACTGGATGAATATTCTGCAATCTAGTCATATATCAGATCATGGATCACAGAGAGATGGTGTGATGCCGGTTCTAATGTTGAGCTACTATTATTTACCAATGCACCTAAGACCTTGTTTTGCATTTTTCAGCATTTTTCCTCAAGATCACCTGTTTTTCAAAGGTGATCTAGTTTTAATGTGGATGGCTCTCGGCTTCATCCAACAATCTCCTCAGAATCCAACACAGACACTAGAGGATATTGGAAGCCGCTACTTTGATGAGTTAGTTAAACTATCATTCTTTGAACAATTTGGTATGCTTGACACAAATCCCTTAACTCAAAGAGTGGAAGAAGTGTACATCATGCATGATCTTTTGCATGATCTGTCAAGCAAAGTATCTCATGGTGAGTGCTTTACATTTGTTGGAGATATGTCAATCAACCGGATCCCAAATACAGTACGTCATTTGTACTTTGAAACCGGTGATCTTGGTCTTCTCAAAGATATGGACAAATGGAAGAACTTGCACACTTTGATTTTAAAATTCAATGGATACAATGATGAGCATGTTGTGGCTTTCCAGCAAGTGTTTGAATCTCTAGAAAGCGTTCGAGTGTTGTGCATCACTATTAAAGAAATGGAAGTATTGCCGTATGCGATAGGTAGATTGAGGCATCTCAGATATTTGTCAGTCGATCATCATTTTACTCGCCTGCCTAGTTCAATCTGCAAGCTTTACCACCTGCAGGTACTTGTTTGTAGCCATATTGAAACTTCTTCAGTTTTGGTCTTGAATAACCTTATTTACTTGAGACACCTGCTGCCATATTATCTTCCTTATGGAAACGTCGATGGGATTGGGACTCTTACCTCGCTTCAAAGGTTATCTTTCAGTGCTGGTGCTTATAAACTTAGTGAACTAAAGGACCTAAGAGAGCTGCAGGAACTTCGGATTAGCGGCCTTCACAACCAACAACAAGGGAAGGAGGTTAGTTTGGTTCAGTTACATGATAAAAAGAGACTCCAAGTGTTACATTTGGATTGGTTAGATGACAGTGATGCAGCAGAGGAGTATGAAAAGGTGCTCGATTGCCTCCATCCGCCCCACAGCCTCAAGGAACTCAAAATTGTACGGTACCGAGGTGCAAGGTCTCCATATTGGTTGGAAAAAGATTTGTTAAAAAATCTGGAGCGCGTCGTTCTTTCCGGAAACACAGCATGGAAGCACCTTCCTTCTCTCGGGAAGCTTCCATATCTCAATAAATTGAGATTGGATTCACTAACAGGACTTGAGCAAATTGGCTTTGAAGGTGGATTTCAGCAACTGGAGATTTTAGAAATCCATGGTTGTGAACTATTGGAAGAGTGGTCCGGGTTTGGAGCAGAGACGGCACCTTGCTGGCCTCTCCTTAAATATCTAAGAATCTCGCTGTGTCCCAAACTGAAGGCATTGCCTCCTCTGCCCCTAAGTCTACAGAAGTTGAGATTACTGTATGTGGGATTGTCTGATTCTCCAACATTCTGCCTGACTACTCCATCCTCGTCCTCATCCTCTCCTTCCCTCACTCACATGGAAATTGCAGGATGTGAAAATTTAACATCAGTGGCTGGCTTGTTGCGACATCGCCTCAGCGCCCTCATGATGTTGAAGATTAGCTGTTGCGAAGCTCTTGCGGATCTGCATGCAGAGGAAGGCTTTCAGCATCTGCATTCCATTAAAAGCCTACGGATTGAATATTGCCCAAAGCTGAAGATGGCTACCGACGCGGTCGCCCCGATCGATTGCTTCCCTCTCTCGTCACTTCATTTTGAACATTGCGGTGAACTGGACAGGCTCTTCCAGGCATTATTAATGCAAGGTGTGCTTACTTCTCTTTCTGAACTTAGATTGTCAGGTTGGAACCACATAACATCCTTTCCCTCCAAAGAGGCGTGCAAAAGATTAACGTCACTAGAAGTGCTGGAATTGGGAGACTGGGGAGGGCTGATATCGGTTGAGGGTCTAAAGGCTTTTTCCCACCTTCGTCGCCTATCTATTGAGAAGTGTCCCAAGCTTGTGCAAGCAGCAGCAGCAGTGTCAATTAAGGGCGAGGAGGAGGAGGAGGAGGAGGAGTTCACATTAACCGTCGGCACTCTTAGGATTGATGATCCCTTGCTGCTCCACATTGAACCATTGAGAAAACTAGCGTCTGTCATAACGCTATGGATAGGAGATTGTAGAAATCTGGAGTGTGAGGGAGACATCAACTCGTGGTTGTTGCGCAACAGAACTTCGCTGCGATCCATCCACCTGGAAAAATACACTGCAAAGTTGCTGCCTCGTAGCCTCCAAGCCCTCTCTTCCCTGGAGTCCTTAGAAATCACTGAAGCTTATCAGCTTCAATCGCTGCCGCAGATGCCTTCATCTCTGCAATGGCTTGAGATCAGTGGCTGCGACGAGACGCTGAAGGAGCCGCAGATGCCTTCATCTCTGCAATGGCTTGAGATCAGTGGCTGCGACGAGACGCTGAAGGAGCGGTGCATGGAGGACGAAGGTGCTGATTGGCCCAACATTAAACACATCCCTGATATTGATATCTTGGCCTGGTACGAGCTAAGTGAGTCCTCCAATGGATCAAGCGATTTCGCTCTCTCAGACTCAGAGGAGTGTTAACTGCATTTGAACCCGATAGTGGCTGTTCTGTCCTATTTTGGGTTCACCGCGCGCAAAGAAATGAACGGTGTGTGCACTTTTTGTCTTTTTCTTTTGTTTGTTAGCTTTTGTGCTCCTAGGAAAGCATATGCTGCTTAAAATAGGAGACAAGGCTTGCCGTTAAATATTCTGGGTAAAATTTAACCTTTTAGATTTTTTAGAAGGTTCCTGATGTTATTAGCACTTGCTAGGGTTTTATGTATTTTTGTAGCTGGTGTTGCGCAATAATATGTCTAGCTCTAATCTTATATATGTCTAGTTCTTAATTCATGAGTTCTTTATTTATCAAACTTCAGTTTCGTACATGTTGAGCCATGAGTATTCAATTCCGGCTATAACCCTTCATCTGACAGCTAACATAACGTAGAAGCTGCTCGATGAGACTGTTTACAAGATTTTCATGCTGCTCTTCATTTCTTACATAGACTTCTACGTAGAAGCTGCTCGATGAGACTGTTTACAAGATTTTCATGCTGCTCTTCATTTCTTACATAGACTTCTCAGAAGAAGGCAGGTTCTCTTTACAAGATTTTCATGCTGCTCTTCATTTCTTACATAGACTTCTCAGAAGAAGGCAGGTTCTCTTTGAGTCTGTAATTTGATTTTGCATCTGTTTTCTGCGAGCTTCTTTAGATGGTGCAGCTATTTCCTTTTCATTTACCATGCATGAAGTTGGGCTTCTCATATCACAAACAAAAGGTGAAATTTATGATAAATTTACTCCTTATTTAGCATAATAGAGTTCCTAAGATGAAGGGTGAATTTCTTTGGTTAATTGCATTTTTGTTCTGGTGATATGCAGTTCTGCCTTCAAACTTCTTTATATGCCAATTCAGAGAGAAGATAAGAGAGTAGAAATTTGAATCTTTATGTGCAAACTTCTTTATTTGGCTCCCCATTTAAGAAGCTAAATGAATATTGAGGTATTTATATACTTATTCGTCTAAACTTTCAAGTCTAATTTCTTCTTTGTGTCAGAATTTGAATGTAAAGGCTCGCTTCCTAAGTCTACTACATATATAGGTTGAATTTCCCCTTTAGGTCACTACTTGATTGCCTCTTCGTTTGATGCTTTTTTGCATTAATGCAAGGCTATTGATGGCGTTATACAATCCAAGAATGCATTGATTTTCAATTCGCTGTCTACTCATCTTGACTATAAATCACTATATATAAAGTCCTTTACATTTGATGCTTGTTACATTAATGCAAGGTTCTTAGTTCTTACTGGATTTTTTTTTCTAGTTTCATATTATAACTGAAGGGTAGAGGGGATGGCTTGTGATTCAGGGTATAAAGATTGGCACTGTTCTTTAAGGTTTTGAAGGTTACATATGCAAGTAACATTTTTATTAAAGTGGTTGATATAGGTAGATTCCTATTTGGAAGATTACAATCTTTAAAAACCAAGTATAATTGGTTCTTCAGCTCGCACTTTTCTGTCTATTTGGAAGATTACAATCTTTAAAAACCAAGTATAATTGGTTCTTCAGCTCGCACTTTTCTGTTAATACTTTGAACAAAGTAATTTAAAAACCAAGTATAATTGGTTCTTCAGCTCGCACTTTTCTGTTAATACTTTGAACAAAGTAATTTATGCACCGAATAAGTTGATTGCAGCGGCTCCTATGACCAATTTTACCTTGGTAATTATGAAAAAAATGACTTTAAGAATGTCTACTAACAGCAATACTTAAGATGAATATTATAACAGATGATTTTATATCTCATATATATAGATACTGCTCTCACTAAGTGTCTTTCAAATTTTGGCTTTGTCACTAATGGAGCTCATGAAGCTACTCCTCAAAGCAAAGTTCTCAATTACAGTGTGTATACTATTGTTTCATTTAGTAGGAGCCTATGATGCAGAGCTCTCTTCATACTATTACAGTAAACTGTGCCATCTTGTTGAAGAAATCATCAAGTAAAATGTCAAGGTAGCAGTTTATCGTGATCTGTTATTTTCAGCAGCTCTGTTGGGACTCCATTTCCATGATTGTTTTGTTCTGGTCTAATTCTTTGGCTAATTAATATTTTCAAATTTGAGTTCTTGTTAATGTTAAGTTTGATACTAATGTTGTGAGAAGTTTGTGTAGGGATGTGATGCATCTTTACTGCTTGATGACACATTTGCAATAGTTAGTGACAAGACAGCAGTTCCAAACTTGAATTCTGTTCGTGGATTCAAGGTGATTGATAGAATCAAGTATTTGTTGGAGGAACCTTGCCTTTTGATTGTATCTTGTGCGGATATTTTGGCAATTATTGCTAGAGATGCAGCTGTTTTGGTAAGTTATAGCACCAAGTTCCATATTCTCCTATTAACCGTGCTTTTTAGCGAGTTGGCTCGCGCGGTAAAGCGCGAGCCAAAAATCTTTTTCCTTCTCCTATATAGAGATACATAAGAAAATAGACATAATTCGAGATGGGTATCCTGTATTATCCTATTCTATAGTAATATTTGTATATTCCTATTCTACAGTAATGACTGGGTTCGTACAAATCATGAAATGTCAGTATGCTGCATGCCAGTGGTATTTTTTTTGCAGGTTGATATGGTAAAAATGAGTCAGTATACATCTTTAGGAGTATTAAAACTTTCAGCCTACGTAGCCATTTAAAATTACAAGCGAACTTCCGTATTTAGTTCCTGTGGAGTACTGCTTATCCTCTGAATGAAAAAAAAAAACTTGGTCCTCTATTTAGAAGTTGATAGTTTTTCACTTGTAGAAGAAGTTTTGTTTTAGTCTGAAGATATAGTGATGGTTTTTTGCTTATGTTCTGTATGAGCCTACCTATGATTCATTGAGTAGGCAGGCATGTCCTTTATTTAGAAGGACATTTAGGTCTCTATCAGAATGTTTACATTCATCAGTACTGAGCTATATCAAACTGGATATTAACTGCTACAAGAGAACATGAATCGTTGTTATGATGTTTGGATATTGACTTTAAACTTTCTATTTAATCTTTCTATTTGGGGGATTATATTCACACGTGAATACCAATGGTAATTAACTGCAGGGGAGTAATACCATTGGAAGACCAAAATGTACGAGCTTCAAAGGGAGACTATATGGTTAGCCAGCATACAAAGGTCCTCCATTGTCCCTTGAATACAGAAGTTATCCATTCTGAAGATCTTTGCAGTCAATATGCCCAACAAATGGGAGAGACGATGCCTTGGTCCCTGGAGACCTCAAGATTTCAAGGTGGTTCGATAACTAATACTATCTCAACTTGCTTTGCAGCCTCGGCTTGCTTCAGAGTGATGAATCACTTGTTTCCGAGAGTGTAGAACAGAGTTTTATAGAGTTAGTTTAGGCTTCTGCCCAGGATTGGGAGCTTTTCTTTAGGTATTTTGCTAAATCTATGATAAAGATGGAGAATATTAATGTGTTTGTTAGAAGTGATGGGCAAACAAGAGAGAACCATCGTTATTTCAATGTTTAGATGGAGAGTCAGTAAACAAGATCAAGTTTTATTTGCTTGTTTAGGAGGTGTTTTGTCTAGAATGATGTAATGCTGGTAACGAAACTGATGGAAGTTTCGACATGTTGCATATTTTGCCAGGAGCAAAATTTCTGTTATCTTCATCACTTGACTTTTTTGGTAAAAAAAACAATGAGTTTTGTTACCTTCCTATTTCATCGTCTCTATTCTAATCCTGGTTGCCCAAGCTCTAAACTTCTCGGCATGTTCCAAGATCATTTATAGGTTTCAATTACCTTCGTCACCCTTGTATGGACTCTTTATGTGCTCCTGTGTAACGACTCACTAGTAGAAAAACGACCAATCTAGACGGAACAATCTAGACGAAAAAAATTTCCGTCTAGGTTGAATCAAACTAGACGAAAATTTTTCGTCTAGGTTGATCCGTCTTGTTTGGGTCAAACTAGACGGAATATTCTGTCTAGTTTGTCAAACAAGACGGAATTCCGTCTAGGTTGCAGGGACAACCTAGACAGAATTTCTATCTAGGTTGGAAGAGGTACTTCAAGCTCTGATGATCTGTGAATATCTCAAACTGTACCCCATACAGGTAGTGTCTCCATGTCTTTAATGCAAAGAATACTGCTGCTAGCTCTAAGTCATGTGTGGGATAGTTCTGTTCATGCGTTCTTAACTGACACAAAATGTATGCTACTACCCTCTTGCTCTGCATCAAAACATCTCCTAGACCCGCTAACGATGCATCTGTGTAGACTATGAAGGTCTTATCTCTGCTAGGAATGGTCAAAACTTGCGATGTAGTAAACTTAGCCTTTAAAGTCTCAAAGGCCTCCTGACACTCCGTGCTCCAAACAAAAGGTACACCCTTTTTCGTAAGGCGTGTAAGTGGTGTGGTTATTTTTGAGAAGTCCTGAATGAACTTCCTGTAATAGCCAGACAAACCCAAAAAGCTACGGATCTCAATAACTATCATCGGCGGCTCCCAATCAAGTATTGTCGTAACCGTAGCTGGATCCACTGCCCTCTCTACTGATGACGTGACCCAAAAATCTGACCTCGGATAGCCAAAACTCATACTTACTGAATTTGGCATATAGCTGGTGCTCCCGCAAAGTCTGCAATGCTAATTAAAGGTGTTGCTCATGCTCTGCCTCCAACCTCGAATAGATTAGAATGTCGTCGATGAATACTATCACGAACTGGTCCAAGTATGGACGAAAAACCTGATTCATCAAATCCATGAATACCGCAATTGCATTGGTTATCCCAAATGGCATGACAAGAAACTCTAAGGACACATAACGAGTCAGAAAGGTGGTCTTGGAAATATCCATCTCCCGAACCCGTAACTGATGATAGCTAGAACGAAGATCAATCTTCGAGAAGTGTTGTGCTCCCTGCAGCTGGTCGAACAAGTCATCAATCCTCGGTAATGGATACCTATTCCGGATAGTGACCTTGTTAAACTCTCGATAATCTATACAAAGACGCATACTTCCGTCCTTCTTCTTCATAAAAAGGACCGGCGCCCCCCATGGAGAATGACTCCGACGAATAAAACCCAGAGACAACAACTCGTCCAGCTGAGTCAGTGGCTCCCTCATCTCAGCAAGTGTCATACGATAGGGAGCTCGAGATATCGGTGTTGTGCCTGGCTGCAACTCGATGCAAAACTCAACCTCTCTCACAGGAGGTAGCCCCGGTATGTCCTAAAAGACATCCTGAAAATCTGAGACAACCCTAGTCTTGCACAAATCAGCTCTCTGATCTCTCAGCATCACCTCCTCGATATAGGCCAGAAATGTCTCCACAAACTGGTTACCCTGTGAGGTCGCTACGATCAACTCAGTCCCATCGAACGCTCGAAAACTGACTGTTTTTGCAAAACAGTCAATGCTAACATGGTAGGATGATAACCAATCCATACCGAGAATGACGTTAAAATCCGACATCCGCAAGATGATCAAATCTATGATAAACTCGTACTCATCTAAGTTGATGACACATCTCCTACAGACGTTCTCTAATAGGGATACCTCTCCTAAGGGAGTAGAGACGGACAATGGAACATCTAAAGGATGTGCGACTAACTGGAGCCTATCCATAAAGGCATGAGATATAAAAGAATGGGAAGCTTCGAAATCGATCAGGATCCGAGCTGGAAAAGAGTTTACTAAGAAAGTTCCTTCTACTATAGCTCCGCTCGCACCGTGATCACGGGGTACGACTGTATAGACTCTGTCAGTGGCTGACAACTGCTGAACTATCGATGGTGGAATATACGGGACTATCTGTCCCTCGGGAATCTCCTGAATCACGCGAATCTAGCCTACTGGCCCCTCAATCCTAGGAACAGCTGGCGGTGCCTCAATCCTCTGCTGCGGCTGCTGGCCGACCCTGCTGATGCTGACCCTGACCACGGTTCTGCTGCTGACCGTGTCCTTGATTCTGCTGTTGGCCCTGGCCTCTGCCTTGCTGGCCTCCTACTGGCGCACTACGATAGTCCTTGGCCTTATGCCTAATCTTGTTGCAATTATAACATGCACCCTAAATCTTGAGCTGCGGTGGTGCTCTCGAGTCATGTTGTGCTCCCTTCTTGAACTTGCCTTGCTGGTGGTGATAAAAGTCCTTACCCCGCTGCTGGGGTCCTCCTAGTCCGGCAAAAGCTTTCCCTTGCCCTTATCATTCTGCTATCTAGACTTGTTATTGCCCTCTTTGTTCTTCTAGAACATCGCAGTCTCTGTCTCCTGTGATATAGCTGCATCTGCTACCTCTCGGACTGAACGGAATCTTCTGGAAACTCGGTAACGGTGAAGACTTGGGCGAAGTCCCATAAGAAACATCTACGTCTGGCGCTCTCCTAACTGTCACATGCCCGTGAAACGTAGAAGACTCATAAATCGGCTCTCATAGTCAGCCACAGACATATCTCCCTGCTCTAGCTTAGATAACTCTAGCTCTTTCCCGGCTCATGCCGCGGAAGAGATGTACTGCTCGTCGAAGAAATACACGTAAT